ATTATAGCAAGCTATAGCAGAACACCATGGCTAATTGTAGCAGAACACTATGGCTAACTGTAGCAGAACACTATGGCTAACTGTATCAGAACACTATGGCTAACTGTATCAGAACACTGGCTAACTGTATCAGAACACCATGGCTAACTGTACCACAGCAGCTAACAAGGCCATTACATCTAACTACAGCAGAGAGGCTAAGAAGAACATTAAAGCTAATGGGAATCAGTTCTTGAAGGAGGACCATCAACAAAGACCCTTTCTATCAGCCAGATGTTAAAACTCTGCGCCTCGGTGATGCTGCAGGTAGTTAAGGTGTCATTTCCAAGGAGACCCAACTTTATCTCTACAGGAAACCAAAGGTTATCTGAGCTCTGATGGGATCTAAGCCTGTCTGAAGGGAATGAAGAGATTTCAATATGCGGGAGAGCGGCTGTTTAAAAAGCAAAGTTTACATTCTTTTCCCTTCCTTCTTTGACCCTTGGGTGGCTGCGAATACGCATGATGTCATCAGCTTATCCTCTCTGGTGAAACTGACAAGCAAAAACACCTGACACAGGAAATGTGTGAGCCTTAATGAGGATGTGATGGAACACACCTCGAATAGGAGTGAACCTCCTAGGAAAATATATAAATCACATTAATGAGCCCGTATCTTTCAAGTGTTTTTTTTTTTTTTACAAATATTGTCTGCTTAGATAAATATGCAGTCCATGTTACTACATCCAGATGATAATCAATCTATGTGCATTAGTAAATGGGAAACCGACTGTAGATGCTCCTATGTGGATCAAATGGTACAAGAAAAAAAATAACAATGGTGACTGAGCCCATTCAACAAATGCACGCCTGCAAACTGTGAGCTGTAGTACCCATTTCATAATATGTTGATAATAAGAACTGTTAATAAAATTTATCAAGGTGTATTATGAAGATCCATTCATGCAGAAATCCAGATAATTCTAATGATTTCGCAAACTTTATTTCACAACTGAAAAAAGGCATAAACCACTTCAAACATCTAAAGTACATATATATGTAGTCATTTATCGACTTGCATCCTATTGGGCAACATCCTTTAAGAGCCTTAATAAAACTTATGAAGAGACATCCAAAGCAGACGTAGCAGACAATAGCTGATGCATTTCACCATGAGTGTGGCATGTGGCAAGAACCAAACCAAACCACTACAGAGGTTTAATTAAATGTGTGTGATATTGTGCCTTATGTAATATAGTATACTTGACCTCCCCCCCTATAATAATCGAGAGACATCCAGAATGACTCACATCCTCACTTTCAGGATGAAACCTGGATATAACTCGCTGGATATGTTTGTGTGTGTGTGTGTGTGTGTGTACACGGTGCTCCCAGAAAATCTTGGGACGCTTGCTTAATTCAGTAAAAATATAGTACATTTATAATGGAGACAGCACCAGGGAACTCTAACAATCAGAAAACTAAGAACACTAATCAATCCTAATAAACAGGAGGCTTAACACTGGGAAGGGGGCAGGAACCACCATACATGCAGAATACTATCAAACAAGGAATGTCAGGGTCAGCCCCTGTTTCTTCCAGTTGTTCGTGTCTCCTGTTTGGCCAGCATGTGTCGCTGGCCATCCTGTCTTCGCTGTTGTCAGCCTTTGTGTTTTCCCTTGTTCTCCTTTGGGCGCATGGCTCAGTGAGCTGAGCATACGGCTACCTGTCAACCCCTCAGTCTTGTGTTCAAATCCCACCTCTTCTGTTTTTGTATTTTTGTAGATTTTGTTCCTTTGTGTTTCATTTGTATCAGTTTTCTAGTTCCTGTGTTTTGTGATTTGTATTCGGTTTTGGTTTCTTTCTTTGTGCCTTGGTTGTGTTACCTGTCTTTGTTCCCTAGTGTTAGATTCTGTTTCTTGGTTTGTTAGTTTGAGTTCCTTGAGTTAATTATTAGTTTCACCTGTTGCCTGTTTTCTTGTGCCAGTCCTTGTGTGTTCTACCCTATTTGCTCCTTGTCCTGCACCCTCCTCAATTAGTTAATTGTTTTCATATGCCCTGAATTATCCTTGTCAACCTTTTGTATTTAAGTTCCTGATCCTGTTCTGTTTCTTTTTGGAGTCAATGATGTTGATGCTTGTCAGTGTAGTATTTCTTGCAGCTCATAAGGTGTATTTCATGTCTTAGTGGTTACAATGTGTTTTGTTATTTGTTGCCTGCCTACCTGCTCCTTGTTGCTCCGACCTTTTGAAATTAGTCTTTGTCTTTCCCCTTTTTAGTTTTGACCCCTTGTGGTCCATTAATTTTGTAGTGTTCTTAGTGTGTTCAGTTTTGTTTAATAAACTCCCCGTGTTTCTGTTAGCCACCAGTGGGTTTGTTCACATTCTGTTCCTGCCCGCACTATGCCACGTCCGCATGCCAGAACCTCCCGGGTCTGTGACAAGGAAGGAGCGGGGCAAACCAAACGCAAGAACAAAAGCAAAGGCAGAAACACCAAACCAGGAATAAACTGAAAGAAAATTACAAAACAGGTGAAGCTGGCCTCCAACCCTTGATTAAGGAGCTGCCTGCCTTGAAGTCACATGCAAAGCCTGCTGAGTCATGCAGCAACCTGGGGAGCAGAGACAACAAACAAGAGGAACACCAAACAGGGTGCCCTGTAGGAACTACTGACCATAATGGGGAAAGGGAACTTGGGGGCAAGGCTAGAAAGGCACTGGCCCTGACAATAACATTAGAAACAATCAATAGTATTAAGTAAAACATACATTTCAAGTAGTAATAAATTGTAACCCAAATTATACTTCTAAAAGAGCTGTTCTGAGTTTAAAAGTTCATTGACAAGCAGTTTCATTGAGTTCTTTTTAGTTACACATTTCAATAACATAAAATGCCAAACATCTGTGTTTAGTATCCCTTTGGGGATATGTCTTCCATTGCCTTTAAATGGCCCCAAATATAATAAATGCTTCTTGACCTCCTAGTTATTACCCACTCTGCATGTGATCTCTCAAGCACATTCCTTCTCTATTCATGCACAGCTTGTACACTTGGTCCAGTACTTGGAGGTGCAGACTTTAGTACGCTGCTTCCCAAAGCTTATAAATCATGAGGTTTGTGTGGGTTTGGACAGCAGAATTTAAGTGCCTGCTCTATTTCTGACTGTGGTGCAGACTGTTTCCAGCACCAAGGACAGCTCCTAGATCTTCATGTCAGTCCAAAATACCAAGGCTATGCAGGGTATGCATGCTGTAGACACTCCACTGCAGTAAACCTGCTAAATGCTAGCTATTTGTTTTTAATAGATTTTATAAAATTGATTTAGCTGCACGTGTTTCTAACTTTTAGTGTGTCATCAGTTCATCGACTTTGTATATAATAAATTAGCGAAAGGAGGTTAAACCAGTGCATGTAGTTGCACTTCAAATACACACCATACATAACTAAGGACAAAGATTAAGTCTTTCTGCATGTTTGTGTTGTGGATTTATTGTATTAATTATAAATGCATCACAATGATGGTCGATGTCCAATGGTTTCCCAGGGCTGTTATGATTTTTTCTTCCTGTAAAGGTGTGTTGTAGGACTACATTCTTTTATGCTCGATACATTGACAGGGATGCTCATTACAACGGACCACCCACTTTTTCCTTCATTGATTTCTTTATACAGGTTTTTACATTTTGTCTTACCTCTTGTTCAGACCAGCTCTCTAGACAGCCTGAGTACAATCTACTTTCGGAAAGAACGATAATGGTCAATAGAAATGTTTTTTTTTTTCTTCTGTCTTTCACCACCAATAGTAGCTTACATAGAAAAAGAAATGGGGGTAGATAAATCTTTTCATTTAGAATTTAAGCCAAAGGATCAATATGCATCTTTTGGCCAGGATGAACACCATAATTGAGGGGAAATGCATGTCGATATTAAGCTTTTATGAGTTTTAGTGGTAACACTTTACTTTATGGGGCACAAATACTTAGTAACAACTCAGATACTACCAAAATACAAATCATGAACAAATATAGTCGATACCTAAGAAAAATGTCATGATTTACGACAAACCTGACATCAGTATTTCACTTGTGTTATTCATTACTTGTTCCTTCAGTATTTCCTTAGTAGTTCCTTCAGTAGTTCACAGACATTTATAGAATTGATACAATAACAAATACAGTAACTGCAGGATGCATCATGATTCCTTAACGATGAACAAATATGAGATCAGTATTTCACTTGTGTTGTTTATGACTTATAACTGGTTTCTTCAGTAGTTCCTTCAGTAGTTCTGTATAAACCTTTATTATTTGTTCCCCGTCAAGTAAAGTGTTACTGTTCAATTGAAAAAAAAAATACTACAACAACTGCGGTATCTTTTTTTTCTTTTGGTTGGTATTTATTAATGAGCTAAAGCTTTCTCCCCGCTGCTTATAAATTTCCTAAATGTGCTCCACTGAGGGAAATACTGGTGTTGGTTCACAGAAGAATTTGCTGGAGATTGTGTTCCTTTTTGTGATAAAGGTGCAAGTGATGAAGAGTGAATGGCCGAACTGCTGACCTTGCTGAGCTTGTGCCTCCTTTCAGGAATAGTGCTTTCATCATGAAGAACACCTGTGTGAAAACGGAAAAGGTTATCCACGTCAGTGCCTTAATAAAGCTGGACCTCTGAAACATGTTTTTCCTTCTATGCAAGTAAAATAAAACAAGTTATGTGGGTAACACTTTACTTGACAGGGCACAAATAATTCAGTATTATACTGTTACTTATGTATTAATTAACCACAAGCTAAGTCTTAGTTACATACTAATCTCAAGCCAATTCATCATTAATGAATCGTGACTTGTTTTATCTCAAGCAGGTACTACATTTGTTACTATATCTGTTAATTCTGTAAACCTTTGTAAATTACTGAAGGAACTACTAAGGAACTGCTGATGGAACAAGTCATGAATAACACAAATGAAATACTGATTTCATGTTTGTTCATCATTAATGAATTGTGACATTTTACCTCAAGTAGCAACTATATTTGTTCATGATTTGTTCAGAATTTGCACTTTAGTAGTAACTGAGTTATTGTGAAGTATTTGTGATCCATCAAGTTTTACCATAATTTGTTCCCCGTAATGAGCCTCACAAACTTTAAAGGCTTTGTGGAAAGCGGTTTTCAGCATGCACAACATTGTCAATGCGGTCTGTTTGTATTTTTGAGACACTTCAAGATAGTGAAATAGAGAAATTAAGAAGATACAGGTCAGGAGATTGAAAGTTACTGTTAAATAAGGCAGTAGATACTTGTGTTTAAAATGGGTTGAATATAAGTGTAAAGTACACATACTGTATACTCATTATATACGTTGCATGTCATGTTGCAACAGTATGCATGTTTTTAAACAGTACAGTTTTACATATAATTTTGAAGCTCAGTCCAAACGCTGGATCTGTCTGTTCCGGTCACATTTTTTATGTCTTTCGCCCCAATTTTAATATGTGCCTCCTGAAGTCCTGCGATGTTAAAGGAAGCTTTTCTTGCCTGTATTCCCTGAGCCTGATTATTCTTGCCGTAATACGGAGGGCTCAAGTTGTCATCTGCATGAATGCACAGATCCCACCTTTAATTCGCTGCCAGAGGTTATTTGCATGAAACTTTGCCCAATTATTTTCCTGGCAACCCAAATGCTGGGAGCTTTACACATGGTTAGTTAGGCAGTGTCAGATTTTTTTCTACAGCAGGGAAGGTCTTCTGCTTAAGGAGCTGTCGGAGATGCCGGGGGCAATGCAAAGACTGACAGGCCTACAAGAGTTTTTGGGATGGGGGAGTGGCAAGCCCTATGAAGGTTCGGCCCGCAAATTCAGCAGTCAGCACTACTATCACTAGAGAAGCTGAAATCTTGGTCTTTTTTTAAAAAAAAATGCCCATTTACTTACATAGCAAATGATTTTACCCGGATCCACTAACAGCCTGTGTGCCGTAGCATCACCTTTCCCATGTGTGTCTCCCTAAGATATGGCAGCACTTCCTATAACTACAACTTTCTCGTTATATCGAACAGCTGCATTGTACGTAACATACCTTCAAATTATTTGCAATTTTTTTTTTTTTTGGTATTTGTATCTGGTAACCCTAACACAGAATTCGGTCAAATTTTTTAACATTTGCTTTAAAATAGAAAAGGCGTACTCCTTACAGAACTGAATTCACTAGTCGCAAGTGATTAATCTCTTTAAAAATGAGATAAGCGCTAATTTCTGTCAGAAGAGCGTCTGTCAGATTTATCGACGGTGAACTATCCGACGCCGGCGCTGCCCCATTACGTTTACGCCGTGTGATTTTTGTTTTACATCCGCTTACAGTGTAGTGACAGAAAGCGTTTTTTACACTCCGCTGGTACACAAAAGTCAGCGCAGTCATAACGACAGAAGTACCGCGACACCCCATCTCCTCCTAGCACCACGGATATCAACGCGGCGTGTAGCTAACGCTGGCACGCGCGGGGTACAAAGGGAGCGCGCATTCAGAGCTCGTCCTTCGGGTGCCGACAGCGCTGCAGATGTCGAGCACGTTCGCTTATTTTATTTTATGAATAGAGCGTAATGAAAACAGAATAGTATTAATGTCTTTTCGTGTTTTTCTGGAATTCTGTACGATTATATTTATATAAAAATATATTTGTATGACAATTACAATTACACTCTCAAACGCGTATTCATGCAGTGCACTGCTAGGAGTGCGATCTTGTGTTTACATTTTTTTCTGCATGTGTCTTACACACATACAGTAGACATTGTGAAGTACTGTATATTCGTTATTGCAAACTAACTGGCAAAGTGAAGCAGTTATTTTAGCCGCATTTTGTCGCCCGGGACCTTGAAACCTAGCTATTTCTGTTTTTCTCTCGAAAATGTAGCATATAAAGAAATGCGGAGTTCACGTGTAACGTTACTTCCCTTCAATATATAAAAATATAAAACACTTATATAAAGCGTGCCAGATTAACGACCATTTAATGATCTAAATGAGACATTTGTGGTCTTTTATGCAGTTTTAGTGAATTTGTAAGGCAAATTTATTTTCCATAGTGTATTGCCTTGTCTAAAGTGACAACATTAGCAGCTAATGATTTTTCACTTTCCTCACTTTTGAATGCCATGTGATTTTTGGTGCCATACACCTCAGAGCCGCACTCTTTAGATTTCCATGCACTACAGTGTCTAGATTTTACAGAAAATGGTGTGATGAACAAAAAAAAAAAGACCCAGTCAGTGACATTTCTGTGGCCAAAAAACCTTGTTAATGAGAGAGGTCAGAGGAGAATGGCCAGACCCGTTTAAGCTAGCAGGAAGGCCACAAGTGCAAAAATAACGGCTTCGATGTGCAGGAAGGATTCTCTGCATGCATGGCACGTCTACGCCTGATGTGGTTTTGAATGAAAAAGTAGATCTTATGTTGTACTATGTAGGTATACGTAATAAAGCATGGCCAAAGAGTGTGTGTGTCTACAGTATATAAACATTTATTGATTTATACATAATAACTTACATTTATCGAGCAGCTGCTTTTGTCCAATGGGATGTACAAAGTAGGATCAGAGAGCAGCAGGTAGTGTCTCTGAAATTAAGGGTCTGGGGCAGGGGCTGAACAATGATGTCACTCAGCCAGCTATGGGATTGGCACCAGCAACCATTTGATCACAGGCACTTAGGCCTAACCCTCAGTGCCACACACCTCCCTTGGTGTTTAATAATGTTTTCTAATATTGCAGATTTATGCAAAAAGAAGGGATGGAAAATTGTCAAAGTTGCTTAATTTACTTTGCATATGACTTCAGGTATGTTTTTGTATTTAACCTTGTTTGTCTACAAAATACAATATAAAGCTAAATATATGATATAACAGCTTTTTAATTTACCTGTTGCAGTGGTAATATTTTAATCTGTATGTTCCCAGTTTACAGACCTTTTATAATTAGTTGTGTTATTCTCTCAGTTAATGAGATTTACTAACTGGCTCTTAGATTTTCGTGATACTAATGATGATTCTTAATGCTAGATCTACCACAACCCAGAATATATACATTAGCTATCAAGACCTTCAAAATGTTTAATTCTCCAGAAATATCCACAATTCCCTTAATATACCACTCTAAGGTTTAAGATGTTAACATGCTTTGATGGAATTTGCACAGGTCAAAATATAATTGCACTGAAGATTTCAAATTGAATAATTTAGCTACAATAGGCCCAAAATATCTGTGAAAGTAAGGAATTTTCTGAATACGCTGTTTTTTTTTTGGGCAGTTAGATTTGGTTAATGAGGGCCGTTTTGGACACGTTTCGGACATAAGGTGACAGAATCAGGACTCGGTGATGGATACTGGAAGATGGCTGACACAAAGCTGTCCATCGATTCATTGACGCTGTCCCTGCAGAATACAGGAAGCCCTACAATTGCCACTGTGCCATTATTTTAGTTAACGTCTGCCACTTCCCACACAGCTATAAAGCGAATAGTTCACTAGCGTCGATCCATTGTGCTTCTTTAAAGCGATGCTGGATATTCCCAGTATTCTTCCCATTATAACTGTATGCCATATTATTGACTTGCTGCTAGTCCATTAATCATTGATTAGCTCACGTAACATAAAACCGGCTTTTATTTTGCTTCATTCCATCTCCATCTAATTGGCATGTTATAATGTGCTGCAAACAAATCAATTTTCTTACATTATTTATTCATTCAACCAACTCATTCATCCACAGCGATTCCAAAATGCTTGTAGTCCTATACCCTTATGAATTAAGAGTTGAATGTGTACTGAAGAAATGTTGATGAAGGATCCCATCAAAGGCTGATCGCCATTGCACAAAGTCGCAAGTTCGACTCTTAAATGATGCAGCACATTTGTCTTACCTTACGGTTGGTGTTGCTTCTTTGTTAGGTCCTAGCTTCTGGTGATTTGCCAACTTCCTGCTCGGGGAGATGGTTCCCACACTGGGCTGAGCCTGCCGGCCTTGTCTATCCAACATGAATGCTCTGGCTGTGCCTGACTCACTACTGGCTTGTTACAGACCAACTTGGGAACCTAATGAGTGACACACAGTAAAAACCCCCAACAACAAATAACAGGGAGCGCGTGTGCCTGTCAATGTATCCTTGTGTCCAACCTGCGTTTCTATTACCTACCAGTATCACTGGTGCACCTAAATACCTTTCCTAACAACATACAAAAACATGCATTCTTCTGTAGATGCACAGCAATAATGCGTCACATGCATGTACACCCTGCTCGCCTTCATAAATGCTGCACATGTGCCCAGAAATACGGAAGTACATGGCAGCAGCTAATGGAGACAGTGGCTGAACAATATATTTCACGCAATTAGCTAGGAAAAATAGAAACAACTGACGCTAAACTCTGAGGGTTTGCAACAAACTAGACAATCGGCACCCTGCGCCCAAAACGTCTTCCCACTCTTATGGATGGATAAGACAGCGTGGGAAGCGAGCATGACTTGGTCATCATGTGGAATCATTTTTGCAGGGCTGCTGGGAGCTACCCCAAAGCTGTGGCCCAGTAACCCCAAGGGGAGTGCCCCCACCAGCCTTAAACTGGGGCTGCCTACATCATCAGTGGAAAGACTGTCTGTATAGCTTACAGGGCACAGAAAGAGCATATTTGTCCTAAATGTAAATATCTGTCTGTATCTTGAGTCATATTTATTTAGCATAGCTTGCATGTCCGTCTTAATTCCAAAAGCAACAGAACAAATTACCTTACATATAATGTAATTGGAAAGGTAAGGCTGATGCGGATCCTCATTCCTTGTTTTCCAAAAGGAAAATTAGTCGCTCCATTAATTTAGCTAATGCGGATGCCTCTGTCCATGGCAGGCAGGTTTTTTTTTTATTAAAAAGATACATATGTGTGTATGTATACATACTACATACACATGTATATCTTTACGAGTTATTGTACAAGCATCCTGTGGCCTATTGCTGTGACCAGAGGAAACACTGAAAGAAATTTTATTTGGGGTGACAGTAAGCATGTATGCAGTAGCGCGGAGAACTTCCAAAAATGTCACCTGTAAAAGCTCTTGGCTTGTACAGATCTGCAGGTTCTTGTCCGATTGATGCATGCTCACATGAAATTGAACTGGCTCAGCTGGGGTTCGTGGGAGGGGGCGGTTGTGGCAACCCGTTTAAAGGTGGGCGTGGTTGGCTACTTTCGGTCATTACATTTCCATGGTTCTAGCTGTTCATAAAAGCTTCTTCCAGTGGGAATTTTGAGGGAGAGAGGAGATATAAGGCAGCAAGTGTAGCTTGTTATGTCATCAAATGAGGCAGCAGTGTAGTGAATCATTATCAGTGTGAACAGGCCTGACACCTATACAGCAATGCATCAGATTTTTGGAGCCTGTTGTGGGCAAGCCTTTGGATGTTTCAGAGAGACTTACTACTCCCACCCCCCAGAAGATGAGAAAGAAGCCTTTTGCCCTCCTGTTACTCCTGTAAAATGCAAATTACCCAGTGGAAGCGATCCCCTCGAAATGCGTTTACCAAAGGCAGATGGAGAGGCCCCAGAAGGCAAAAAAAGGATAGGCACTAAAGCTTTGAACATTTATTAAGACTCCAGTTGCCAAAAGGCATCTGGATATCCATGCCTGCGGAGCATTTTTTATAATTAATATAAAATATGGAGGGGAAAAATATAGAGCTTTGTGCAAAGTTCCAAAGTGGCAACCGTAACCTATCAAAATGCACATGTGGTGTCAATATATTCGCCACATGTGGAAAATTACTAGTGGAAATATACAGAACTGGATGTTTTCACAGGCTAGATGCCTGTGTGAAGGGAAATCTAAAATGACTGGCGCAAAATGCTCCCTTATGAGTCACAAAAGCATTGAAGGCACTGAACAAAGAGTTAGAAAGTCACATTCCCATAAAAAACACAAGCGCTGTCATTTGTGGCCCCCTGGCAAAAAGAATTGAGTTCTTTGTTTAGTTGTTGCTACCAAAAGGCATTGTGATTGTAGTGGGCTTTACAACTTACTTTAGAAGTCTACAGAAGTCAAGAATGGGTTGTGGGTTTGTATTCAAAGATAATTATAATAAATGGATTAGATGATGAAAATATCTGTGATAAATGATTAACTTGATATGATATAATTGACTCCATCAATTCATATAGTGAAATAATACCTTTTCATCTATTTATACTTTAGCTAAATACTGTATATCCATGAATATGATCATGCCACAAAAATAGTTTTATAATTTTTATTTTTTTTCTATCAGCCATGTTGGTCTTCTCAATGTTTGTTGAATGATTTATACAACATAATGCGGAAACCAGAACTGATAAAATATTTGTTGAGGTACTTTTTAATTTTTTTAACCTTGTCTCTGCTTCTTTATAGCTATGCCTGACCATTTCCGTATTCTTTCTGGCTTCTTCCCTGAGCTCTGAAAGAGTGACCTTTGCAGAGGTGCATGACACATGCACTCCAGCATCAATCGATGCTATAAAGCAGGGTGCCACCTGTTTGGGTCAGCCTGTGCAGGAAGGATCCACTCTCCAAGCTGCACTGGGTCATGCATAGAATTTCATTTGGCATTCAGAGCAGCTGAATGAGTAACAGAGAGACGGTGATGGTCTCCTGCTCATACCAGGTGGAGGTTGTCTAGTGAACTGATCCTACTGAACACCTACAGGTACCATTATTCAGTCTTTGCTCTACAAAGGTGCCTTATCTGGCACCAAATGCACGGTAATATCTTCTGTTCTTAATGATTTGTGAATTTAAATTTTGCATTTATGATTTATAATAAAATTTATTTGTTTGTGTAATTAATTGCGCCATCACCTCCCCCTCTATGGATGATGAATTTATTTTTAATTTCTATTGCAAATTCAATGCATTAGGTGACGTCACGCCCCCCTAACCCCCCCCAGGGTCATCGTGCTGACACTTAAACCAGAGACAGACAGGCATGAACAAAACAAGATTACGACCAAACAGACAGACAGTCAAAGAGAATTGACAGGACATGGAAGAAAAAAACAGGCATTGCAGGTAATGGGATAATAGGCAGTTTTTGTACTTGAGATCGAAAATCAAGAATGAGGCAAATTTATTTTAAAAAGCATTAAATATTGTTTTAGATGCTTTAAGATTAACAGGACTTGAAAGATTAGATTGAGTTTATGTCATATTAGTTTTATATCTTTTGATCTTAGGCAAAAACTACAATATCTCCTACATTTTCGTTAATATTACGATGAGAATTTTGCCTATGAACCCATACCAGTAATATCCACATTAAAATCTTGCTTGTGCTACATAAAAATAAAAACACTTGTGTGGTATGTGGGGGTGTCCAGGATGGCAGGGCCGGGCTCCATTCTGGTCGAGGTCCTGGGTAGGAATTGAAGATGAGCCCAGGTAGCATGTAGCAATGTGACTCCATTCCTGTAATTGGCCAAAACACTTTCACTCTCTTGTACTGGTTGCACAGACAACTCCCCCCTCCTGAAGGGATGCTGCTTTAATGAGCACAGCAGCTGGGCATTCCTACCTCCTCCAATTAAATATACTTGCAGATGCATCAGGATAAGTAACAGAAATCGCCCGCAAAGCCACTTGCATTTATAGCACGTTCCACAAGCTTGTAGATAACCTCACTGTTCTTTTCCTCATGTAGAACACTTTCGTCCTTTTGCACAATGAAATCTCCTATTAACCTACCTAAAAGAACATTTCTATTTATGAGAAAGACAAGTGAGAGAACATGCCTGCCATCAACAACTGGTCTGGTAGGCACACCCTGACCTATCTGCTGCATCTCACGCTGGAAGTGATTCTACACACCCTGTTGCCCAAGAGGTTTGGTCAGGCCAGCGCTATGCCTGGCAGAGGAGAAGGCAGAAGCTATTCTCAGACATGTATGTGTATGCTAACTCTACCTTCCATGTAGTCTGAGTTGCCCAGAGAATGAATATTCAGAGTGTAATGCTCCACTCCACACCCTAATGAAATCTGGCTCTGGAAGAAGGACATGGTGAACCTCGAGCCTCAGGAAAGGCCCCAAGGCTGATCTGAAATGGATACTGTCAGCTTTTCAGCCTTTGTCAGTATACTGGGGACATCGCCACACTCTGAATGTTTCATGTACTTTTGGGGGGTCTTCTGTCATAGCTTTGATTTGCGTTGCCTTATCTGGACTGCCAAGAGCACCAGAGCTAAGATGGCAACAGGTCAGACTATATGAACCCATGTATGATTCTTGTTCTTTTCAATACTGACCCCTGTTAGCACACTGGAAACGGGGATGATGTCAGTCACTAACAAACAAACATTAGTCCACAAGATCCAATTCAAATTACATTCTGAGTATTAACGGATGCTTGATTTGCACAAGTACATTGGAATTCTTCAGTTTCCACATGTCCCACCTTGTTCTCCTGTAAGGCAAACAAGGGGGGTGGGGGGCATAAAGGACCTTCTCAAAGGTCCAACAGAGTTGTGACTATTCCGCCAAGGATGGAATTCAAACCTGGCTACCCACCACTCCTCTCAGCAGAAGCTGGTCCCTGGCTGATTGAATCATTCCCTCCACTCACTTTGCTCCTTATCACATCCCATTATCTTCCATTTGTGGCCAGAGTCAAGTTCAAGACCCTGGTTCTGGCTTAGCAAGCAGCAACAGAACCTCATTATATGTAAGACATCATGAGCCCCAATGCCTGTGTCAGACCACTACAGTGAGAAAGAAATTTATGGGCTTCTAACATCTTTCAAAACTCTCATTTATATCTTTCTCATCCAAAATAAATCCCATCAAGTGATATGTAGTACCAGTATGATTCTGGAATTCAACATTGATTAGCCTAAATACCATTGATTGTGATGTGTCTTTGGCAGTTGACCTTGAAACAAACGGCTCAGCAGAGGGGTTGCAGATGTTGCATGTTTGAACCTTAAATCAGCTCTGAGAATATGGAGCTTATTTAGAATTTGTTATTTTTTGCAAAATTTCCATCAGATGTTTTGGGTTCCGTCTATGGTTTACAGTTTTTGTGCGTGTAAGTCAGTGAATGTGTACAGGCACTGGTGAATGCCGCCCTACAGAATGTGATTCTTGGGAACAGGTTTTGGATAATTGTCACCTCGTTGTTCAAGTCCCATAGGTGCTCCTCAGCCCCTAATACTTTTATGAGAACAGGGTGCAAAGTGGGGTGGTGCCATGGTTAGCACTGTTATCTCACACCTTTGGGAGCAGGATTCAAGTCTCTGTCGTGGCACTATGTGTGTGCTGCTTGCATGTCCTTCCTATGTGGTTGTGGGGTTTTCTCTGGGTAATCTGGTTGCCCCCCATAGTCCCAAAACCACCTGCTAAAATAAATTGGTGTTACCATGGGTTGCTCCCTGCCTTGTACCCATAGGCTCCAGCCACCCCCCCCCCCCCC